AAAAGAAATCATTCGTTGTGGAAGAAAGAAAAAAAAAAAAAAAAACATGATAAACAAGTCGCGAATGAAGCATTAAAAAAAAAAAGAAAAAAAAATCAAAAAACTCGACTTAAAGACTTTTAAATTCTTCAGAATTGCTTTATACAGTCTTATTTAATTCAACGTTCCATTTCGCTTTACTCCGTGCGATGGATGAAAAGTTGACGGACTGTCCCCTCGGGATAATTAAAGTCCGGAGCGTTCGAATGCAGTGAAGGGGTGGGAAAAAGGGGTATTAATGGAATTTATAATGGTCTTTTTGTCGAGGCATTCCAAACTTGCGGACCACTCTTGGCTTCTCTCTCTTTCTCTTTCCTACTCTCTCTAGTTGCTTTCTAACACATATATACACGCATGCACACACACACACACACATATAACATTCTTTTTCTTTCTTTGTCTTACACTCTTTCTTTCTCACTTATTATCTTTTTTGCTCTCCCTTTTTCTATTTTTTTACACATTTTTTCTCTCTTTCCTTCTCTCTCTCATTTTCTCATTTTCTCTCTTTAACTTTCGCTTAGTCTGGGTGAGTTTAGTACGGTTCTCTTTCTCTTTGATTCTCTCATTCGTCCAGTGAACATCTTCAGACGAGGATATCCGTAGTGATTTGAAATGCGATGGCGGTGCTCCTTTGCAGTTCCGTGCCCGACAGAGCGAAATAATGGACTATCGGACGAGCTAACACGGAACTTATATTCTCGGAATTTGTTAGAAACGTCTAAATGTACGAATAAAGGTGTGATAAATAAACTCTTTACATTTTCATTTTATTTACTTTTACGAAAATCTATTTCTCTCTCTCTATATATATATATATTTAATTTACAATAAATTAATAATAAGCCGTTGTTCGGTTTTCAACTGTAACTCGACACTTGTTATCTTTAAAAAAAAAGAAATGCATTAATTTATCGATTAACCGATGCAATAATAATAATAATAATTGATAAATGATAATAATATAATATAATAACTGATATTATATCTTTCGTCAGAGTTTAATAGAATTAGGTTAATGAATAAGAGATTCATGATTTCCGTCCGATTGGAGTTCCAGAACGCGCTATTTTACGTCCACTGTGTGAGATCCTCTAATAAAAGAGAACCTTGGCTCTTGGAGTCGATCGTTATCCAAGCCGGAAACTTTACAACGAACTAGTTTGAAACTTTTAGCCGGTCGAACTGCATTCTGAGAAAACAAAGTGTATCCCATGGATCGAAGAAAATCGTTACCTCACCCGAAACCCGTTGCACCGTGAAGCTTTTACAAAAAGAAGAAGAATAAGATGAAGAAGAAGAAGAAGAAGAAGAAGAAGGAGAGAAAGGAAGAGAAAAAGAGTGATAGAAAGAGAGAGAGAGAGAGAGAGAGGGAGGAAAGAAAGTAGANTATATAAATATATACAATGTAATATATAATATATAATATATATATATACGTATACCACATATATATACATACATATATATACATATATATGCTATAGTATTAGCCGGAAGTTAGTGTGAGGACGAAAGGAAATAAAGAGGAAGTTTCAACAATGACCGAAATAAACGGACGCGCCGATAAAATTACTCCCGTCTATCTGTCTCTTTCATTCTTTCATTCTTTCTTTCTTTTTTTTTTTTCTTTCTCTTTCTTTCTTTCTTTCTTTTTATCTATCCTTCTCCTACTCTACTTCCCGTTTCCCTTGGACTCCTATAAAAGAGGAGCAATTTCGGAATCCTCTGTTTTTCTACACCGGGACGGTGTAGATGCTTTCATTTATCACTCTCTTCTTCTTCAGACGCCAAAGTAGAGAGAATAGGGGAAGGGATAAGAGATTGTGAGTGGGGAAGAATAAGAGGAGGTGAGTATGAGTTGGGGGATGAACTGGAAGGGCTGCTAAAAGGTTGCGAAACTCTTCTCTTCGTTCAACGTGAATACGTGTGAATGAATGTACCAGTTTGGTTTATTTGTGTTAGAAAGAGATAGATAGATGGATAGTTCAGTCGACAGATAAATAGAGACTTTATTAGATACTTCAAACTAATGTAATCGTCAAGAGCTGTTAAATGTATGATCGATCATTATGAAGGGTGAAACAATGTCTGGGATAAATTACGAATAAGTTTTACTAAAAATTATATTAATATAAGAGCCGTTATGAATGCTATAAAATAAAATTATTGACTTATTATAATAAATATTACGTATAATTATTATTTGTTAATATGATAAATAAATAGAAAAAAAAGAGAAAAAAAACTGAGATTTTGTGTTCTCATAAGGGTTTAAAATTGTAATTTTAAATCGAACAAAGTATTTGTTTCGTAATGTGAAGTGGTTAATTTTTGTTTTGAAATTATGAGAAAAGTAAATTGATAAAATGATTTGTGTATAAAATTGTTGAAAATATATTTACATATAATGTTACTCGCGCATATTACAGTTATAAATTTTCAGGTTCCATCGTGCGAAAGTTTGATCTTTAAATGATAAGATAAATCGACGTAACGTAAATTCGACGAAAATTTATACAGCGCGAATAGGGATATAAAATTGATAGAAAATATTTAAATACAATGGTACACGATATAGAAACGTTACAATGAAAAATTCGTTTTTATATCCTTTTTATACGATAAAAGGGCTAACATAAAAGGTATTTATATTTTATTCTATCGACAAAAGCAAATATCAGAGATAGAATATTTTTACAAAGAATTAGAATTGTTATTATTTACTTCAAAGCTTTTATTTTAATGGTTTAAAAAGTAAATGCGTTTGAAATGATATTTGTTAAGAAAATTTTATATTGTTATAATATTATATGGTAACATTGCAATTGATTTATTGTTAATGAAACATTATTATAAAAGTTTTTAATTGAGTTCAATGTTTTGATGATATCGTTACATGTAGAAACGAAATGAATTAGAAAAGAAGTCCTACATTATTGCAGATAAATATTTATCTTAAAAGGAAAGCAATATATATCGTCTAGTTAACCCTGGAGATCTTTAGGGCACGTTTATCAAAGCTACTTGGAAAGGGATCGGCTTTTACCGATAACATCCGATACCGAACAAAGCATTTTCCTTGATTAGTTTCTGCTTAGTTATCCTATACAATATCTTAAAAGTGTTTTCATTTAATCTCGAATCAACATCGCGTGTTGTATTTTTTGGAATCTAACTAATCGTTTAAAAAAAAATAAAAAGATACTAACCAGGCAAAGTTCTTTTCGATGACTCCTTTTCTTTTCTAAACAAAAAAAAAAAAAAAAAAGAAAAATTCTTTTTCCAAGGTTCTTTCTCGATGGATAAGGGATGAATTGTTACGGTTACCTTTTATACTTCACTGACATTTTTATTACCAATACTCTCTTTTATCCGCTATTATTGCACCGTCATCCTCACCGTTAAGACTATTATCGTGTCACGGTTACTGATGTCTTACCGTATAAGAATTTTATTTGAAATGTTGATAGAAACGATCAAAATGAAAAATAAAAATAGAAATGGAATATTTACAGATAAGAATAAACAAACGAAATTTACGATTATATAAAAAAAAAGTATTTCTTTCGACATAAATAAATTATTTTTTAAATAAATTTGTTTTACATTAAATCTCTTCCCAGAAATTGATTCAGTGACATTTTTTCAAATACACATTTAAATATTTATTCTATTCGGTTATACGAATTAATTTATACGTCGTTTTTTATTAAATTTATATTGTTAAAATTATTACAAATCTTACGGTAAAAATTTCAATCAATTAATTCAACTATTATATTAATTGTAACTTATCTTATCATAAATGGATTGAATTGAAACTGAAAAAATAAAACAAAATTGTATGAAATTTCTTTGATAATTTGTTAACTAAAATGGTGAAAATGGTTGCTTTTACCAGAACATTGCGTGAATAGTATAGTTATAGTAGATATTTCGAGATCCATCAGCAGTGTTCGTTAATCCTATAACGAAAGGTTTCACTTCGGCCCGATGTCCCGCATCCACGAGAGAAATTCAATTTCTACTGTCCTCATACGGAAGATAAGAGATTGCTCTGACCCGAATACGTGACCTAATACATCCGAACAGACTTACAATATGCACCTCCTTTTTCAACCCTGCTTTCCTTCTTCCCCTATTCCTCCAAGCCTCCTTCTTCTCCTTCTACTCTTCTTCTCTTCCTTACTTTGATTCTTTTGATTAATTTTACCAAAACATACGCAAGTTTTTCGTCACCAAATTTGTTTTATCACATTTTAGGTGTAGTCGAATCTAATCTATGATAGTAATTAAATTTTTCTTCTTTTTTTCCTATTTTTCTTTCCTTGTTTCGTAAACTTTATTGAAGAATCAATACCGTATATTATAATATTTTTTATTTTAACCATATATAGAAATTTGTAAAACAAGATAGAGAAAGAATGTTTATGGTGAAATTTGTAGAATAACCGACCCTTTTTCATCCGACTGCGATAAAGTCTGAGAAATTTATTGAAACAACGCATCGGGCTGTCCGAAGTGTACGCGTGTGATCGATAGAAATACCCCTCCTGTTGCTATATTTTTCTGTTAGATGCCTTTGCTACGTTGATATTGAGATCGTTACAGGTAAAATATTTTTTTAGATTCATGACGGGACCTCGAGCATTTCTGAAATCACGGATACGCGATTTTCTAATTGAAATAAAATAAAAGAATGAAAACGAATTTTTGTTTGCATTCTTATAATATGATTTGTTATTCTCTGTAGATAGGATTGTCATTAAGAAAAGATTTTGTTTTAATTGAACATTAACATGTATATTATATTTAACAGTAATAACAAGAATAAAAGATAAGCATATATTAAAAGTTTGTAGAGTAACGTTAAATCATTTCGTTTCGTGGATTTCCATTCGTTTGGATAGATTCATTGATTTTTCTTATTCTTTTCTTTTTTCTTTTTTTCTTTTTTTCTAATGTCCGTGACCATAACCACCATAAGTTCCACCTTCGTGATTATTTCCACCGGTGTTGTGAACGTGAGCGAAAAATCCTCCGTGCGGATCGGAATGATATTTGACTATTCTTGTATTACCACCTGGTTCTTTGATCGTGTATTCACCAGCTACATTTTTTCCTGTTAAATTAATACATTTTTAATCTAATTTGTCATTGAACGAAAAGAAAATAATTGTTACATTAAAAATGATTACCATCTCTGTGTTCCTTCTGTCCATGATAGTCTCCAGTATGATGATCTTCAACGCCATAAGAAAATTCGTATTTAGGATGAGCAACATAATCGATATGATGACCGTGTTTCCCATGGTAAGTAACTTCATGACCTGGTCCTTCTACGGGTCCGTAAAAATGTGCGAAACTATGTGCGTGTCCAGGAAAAGCTTCACTTATCCCAATACAAACAAGCATGCTAAGAACTATGACGAACTGTGAAGAAAGATTGTTGGGTAGTATTATTAAAGTATTTTTTTTTTTATTATACAATTATTGTTTGTTTGAAAAATTCATTACAATTTTCGTATTCCATTATCATCTCGGAACTAATTGTACATGAAAAATTGTGAGAACAAAACGTTAACGTATGTCACGCATAATTAAAAAATGAATTAATTAGTATAACACTTGCTTTTAGTGAAGAATTTGTAAAAGTACACTTAAACGAAATTATAAGTAAAATCATGAAATATCTTAGATCAGGATACGAACTGAGAATGTAAAATATAGATTTGAAAAGAATGATATTATTTATTATGACTATATTTTCTTTCATTGACAATTCTTCTCTTATCCCAATAAATAATTCTCTAACATAAAATTGTAATATAAAATAATAAAATCCATTTTAACTTTGAAGGTTTCTTAACTTTGGATTACAGTTTAAATTTTGAAGTGTGATTTAAGTGACAAATGAACTCGATTATAATGAATAATTAAATAAAACAAAATAATATATTAATATGATTTAAGTACGAACCTTGAAAGCCATGTTGAATATTGATGTTTAGTAGAATTTTTAAGCGTTGAATGACAAGTTCTTCGATATTGCAGTGAGTTTATATACCGTGTCCTGTCACCAAAGAATTTCGTCATTACGTCGTTATTTAACTATCGGTAGGACGATTTATACACAATAATCATTATTCCAGTTATGAGGAGAACATTGAAATGAGACTAAAGGAAAGAAAAGAAAAGAAGAGAAAAAAAAACGAAATCGTTGTCCAGTCAACTTTCCTATGCATAAACTGTCGCATTCCATCGATGGACGAACGTAATCAACTTTGCGCATATGGCTGGGCCAAATGGAATTTCAATTTGTGCCTTTCGATCGATTCTTTCTTTTACTCATTCACTCACACTCACTTTTTCTCTCTCACACTCTTATACACACTAACCGTAAACTTCTTGTTCTTCTGTCAGACTCCAAATAAAAACTAACGTGAATATTGAACCGTATAATGAAACTTTAGGATCATGATCAAATAGAGTAAAGTTATGCACTAATTTAGTGATCCTCTAAAAAATGATAAAAAGAAAGGGAGAAAACAAAAGAATTAAATTGCAATATATGTGTAGGAAATTTAAACAAATGAATTTACATGAAAATATATAATATATATCTTCTTCGTTAATATTCCAAAGAAAATAAATTAAGATGTATTAAAACGGTAATTCTCAAGATTTTTTATATTACATCTTTCAATCTCATAATTGTCATTATTCTAACTAAAATAATTTCAATCAAAATAATCGGTATTTAAACATTGAAAATGTCAATAGTAGTTTCTATCTTTGTTTTAAAATTCTGAAATTTTCTTCAAGAGAAAGAACAACATTTCTGTTGAGAACCCTTACTCTATGGTGTACCTTCCTACATTTTTAATCATTTTCATCGAATATTTAACGACAGCAGCAGCAGCAGCAGGAGTAGCAATATCAACAGTGTCTAACTCTACTTCTCAAAGTAAAACTTTTATTTTATTAATAGTCATACCCTTCCCTCGCGTCATACTCATTTGATTAGTTCGTTGAAGATCGCCTATACCACGAGAATATTCCATTTTAATAATGCAACGGTTTCTAACTTCTATTAAGATCGACTAAAGATTATATGCATGCAAGTAAAGTAAAGCACTCGAAGAAAGTTTGGTTTAAGTGTAACCACTTAATCGATGCAAGTCGGATCAATTTCACCTATAATTGATTTCAATCGTTAAAGTTTACCCCTTCAAATGAACTTCCTTCTTCTCACACATTGAAATATTGTACAAGCAAATCTTTTAAAAGAATAAAGAAACTTCAGGTATAATATTTGATTTAGGAAGATAGTTTTCTTTTTTCTCCTACTTTTCTTCTAGATTTCTTTAAAATCTGTAATATTATATAACTCTGATAATATAAATCGAATTATGAAATATTTTTACCAAAATAAAACAAAAATTGTTTAACTTTTGCATTAATACAGAAGTTTTAATTCAACTAGATATTATACGATTAGTAATTTTGGATAAACACGTTTAATAGCTTTAAAAACAATTTCTGCAAAAAAAAGATAAGTGATAAGGAAAAGCGTAAGTTTTCTGATTTCTTAAGTGCACTTTCGTTAAGTACATTTTATCGAGAGCAAAATTCAGTATATCATTACTTTAAACTAATTTCTAATGCAGATAGAATAACTATAAGTCATCATAGACTTTGATAAATTCGAAAGATTACGTTGATTTGAAAATGAAAATTTTTCAAATATTCTCTGGAATAACTAATTTTCGAAATATACTTTATTATTTATTGTTAATATAATCAAGATTTTTTTCTTATCCAAAATTTATTAATATTATTACTAAGTTTACTCTTAGGGAAGTTGTTTTTTTGGACGGGTTTAATTAAGATGAACACAATATTTATCCGTTGAACGTTTCGTCTCTATTTGAGACTTCCTCAGCAACTTGATAGTTATGTTCATAAGTCAATATAACATCATTATATTGACTTATGAACATAACTATCAAGTTGCTGAGGAAGTCTCAAATAGAGACGAAACGTTCAACGGATAAATATTGTGTTCATCTTTATTATTTATATTTTAATTCATGTGTTTGTTTTGCTTGTTACGTTATCGATTGTCAGAACGTGAGTGGGTGTTACCTAACTCAACTTCTATTAGTAGAATCATCGAAATCAATAGATACTAAGGTTGACTGATCTCGGATGAGAATTCTTTTATGTTAAAAAAAGAAAAATAAAAATAAAAAAAAAACGATTAGCCACAAAAATTCTAGGAATTGTTAGAGGAAAGTAGGAAAGAAGACGTGCAAGTTTCTCGAGCAGAGAAAATTTGATCATGCTCGGCGATGCGTGAAAAATGTTACGAACGCCGTAGCACGTAGTGATTCTCGTATCAACGACGTACGACGGGTTCCCATCTACTATTTTTGCCCTTTATTCTTTATATTTTATTTTATTTTCAAAAATAGAACTTTTCAATTTTTGATCTTCTGTGATCCGAGTTATAGGATTTTCTATTTTGCTTCTATACTTTTCTATTTCCGAAATCCGTCACATCAACGGGTGACACTAATTTTGTTCTTTTCTTTTTCCTTTTTCCCGGATTATCCTAGACTAAAGAGAAAGAGAGAGAAAGAGAGAAAGAGTTAACTCGATTTTTGTCTTGTTAAACGTAGGATTATTTTTGTAAAGGAAAAAGGTTAAGAGTACCTATTTTTGTCCTTTGTACCTATTTTTATCGAGTTTTATTAGAAAAAAATAGTCTTGACCGTAAATTTGGAAGTTTGTGTAGTATCCTGGTTCGATGATAGGTAAGTTACAGTTTTATTAGTAACTGTTATAAGTTTATTCGAAAAGGGAATTTTAGTTAGGAAGTTTCTAAAGAATTACTGTTAAATTAATTTTTGTATTCTTATTGTTTATCGAAAGATCGTTTTAGCATCAGATCAATGATCCATGAACGATGAGATTGCACGTTAGGTGAGATTTTTTGTTGTGGGGTTAGATTTTGTTATCGTTGCAATAGTTTCAATAGAAAGGATTTGTCGTTTTTAGGTAAGTAATGAACGTGACAAGATTCTACCTTAGTCGACTAAAAAGGATTTTTTAAGAAATTGTAGAAAAGGTGATCGGTTGAACCATCTTTCCTCGTTCTATAACAGTGGTGGCATGAGACAATCGGACAATTTATCCCATTTTGTCAGCAAAATATCGGCCCACGAAAAGACGAGAACTCTTACTTCATTGGAATTCGGTCTAGTATTCCGTGCACACCGTTCTTGGATGCAACGTGAGTAGCCAACAGATCGTGACGATTCTTACCGAAAAAGGAAAGACGAATGATCTTAGGATTCGTCTACGAGGGAGATAAATCCTACAAAGAAATCTTGAAATTTTGAAAGGAGGTTTAGATAGAGGGATCATTTTTACTGTATAACAGCAAATATACTCTAACGGTTAAAATTTTAAGTACACTTACAAAGTTTAGGTTCTGATACACATATTTTATTTGATTTTACCGCAATCAAAATTTAACATTTTAACAGGAACCAATACTGTTCTTGATATTAAATTTCAATATTCTGATTTTTAGCTTTATTTATTTTCAAAAATATCAGATCTTCTTAAAACTGGGGTTAACTTTAAAAGAAACATTTAAAATCATGGAAGACAATTTATTGAAATATTTAATATACATTAAAACAATTGATGATTAAAATAATTTTTAACATTATCCATGCTTGTGTCCACCAGAATGATCGTTTCCACCAATATTATGAACTTCAGCGAAAAATCCACCATGTGGATCAGCATGATACTTGACAACCCTTACGTTACCACCTGGTTCGTGAAGTTGGTACTCTCCTTCAACTTTTTTTCCTTTTATTAAAAATCATATTTTTATATTAATAAAATGATGAAAAAAAATTTATTACGACACGATTGAATTTAATTGCACGTACCGTCTCGATGCTCGCTTTGATCGTGATGATCCTTTGTATGATGATCTACAACTCCGTAAGAGAATTTGTATTTAGGATGAGCACGATAATCATGGTAATGGTCACCATGTTTGTCTTTCCATGTTATTTCTTCGTGATGACCTACTACTGGTCCGGAAAAGTGATGATAGGAATGGGCATGTCCATGGGAATCACCATGATCTGCTTCTTTACCTCCATCATCTATTATAAACACACATACATTATATTTAAAAATGAAAGATTTTCTATTAAAAATTTCATGAATTTATTATACCTTCGTGAACTTTTGGAGTAGCCGTGACTACTGCGAATAAAAATACCAGGCATAGTATCGACATCTGAAAAAAATAAAAAAAAAAATAAAATAAGAATAATAGTAATAATTAGAAGTAGGGATACCTTGAATGAAAAAATAACAATTAAAAAATGAAATGTTGTACAAGTCAGATCGCTGAAATCGAAAAATTTATGATTGTAGAAATTTGTTTCGAAAATTAGTATGATCTGTCAATAATATACACCCTAATTACACAATTAATATTACACGTAATAATATTAAGTTCTAAAAAAAAATATAATGTTAACAGTAAAGAAGAAAAAAAGTAGGATAACCGATGTCTATGGTAACGTTGCAAACATTAGTTGTTAAATATTGCCAAAAGAAAAAAAGAAAATTATAAAAAAAATAAATATAAAAAAATTCATTAATATTCATTAATATTCACATAGAATTTTGTTTCGAGAATTAGTATGATCTGTCAATAATATACACCCTAATTACAAAATTAATATTACATGTAATAAAGTCCTAAAGAAGAAAAGAAAACAAAAATAGAATGTTAACAGTAAAAAAGAAGAAGAAGAAGAAAAAAAAGAAAAACAACAAAAAACAAAGTAGGATACTCGAAGTTGACAATAAAGTTACGAACGTTGGTTATTTAAATATAACCAAAGGAAAAAAGAAAAAGGGATAAAATAATAATATAAAAAATAAATTCATAGTAATAGCGTAAGGATCAACCAGTGTAAGAAAATTACACCAGAATGGAATTAATATTCATCAGGCAAATTTTGCAACAGTAAAACCAGTAGCAGCAGCAACAACAGCAGCAGCAGTAGCAGCGTGGTAATATGTAATAGAAAATTACAAAGGATCTGGCGACGGCGGCACCGACGATGTCGTCGTCGTCGTCGTCGTCGACGTCATCGTCGTAGTCGCCATTATTCTTTCGCACGAATACGCGACCACCGCGAAACGAAGTTGCGGAGACGCTTTTACCGAGCACATAAAGACCTCTGAAACACGCTGTGCTCGTACTTTACGGTCACGACTCTGCGTAATACTTTGTTCACCGTTGGTGTTAGCGATTCCTGTTCTCTATGGAATAGAGGAAAAAGGGGAATGAGAGCGGGGTGGACGGGGGGGACGTGGCCAAGTCGGGGAAAAAAGAAAGAAAGTAAATAAAAGAGAATAAAGTGAAAAAGAAGAAAAAGAAGAAGAAAGAAGGAAGAAGAAGAGTCTACTCGGGAAAACGAAGATAGAAAAATTCGTGAAACGAATGAACGAAATAGGAAGGAAATTGTAAGAAGGACACTGCGAACCAACGTTCTTTTCATCGATCAGAAGAAACTCCAAATCGAGATCGAGGTTCGTGACATTAAACCCGACCTCATCTAACCAATTTTCTTCTTCTTCCTCCTATTCTTATTTTTCTTCTTCTTCTACGTTCTAGAATAGGAAATTCTAACCCTCTTTTAGGATTCTTCTCTTATTCTACAAACTCTTTGTTCTTTCCACGACCGCTTGTAGAATATTAATTCGAATTCGTGTCGTTATTCGAAAAAGAGAGAGAGAGAGAATAGATACAAGAGAATTTATTTAAAGAACTTTCGTTCTGTATTCTTATGATTCTTACATAATCTTTAATTAAAATCAATGCGTTCGATTAAATTATTCTTGCTTCGAGATATTAGAAGATTTTATTTATCAGTAATATTTTTAAAATTATCGACTCTATAAATAAGATTACTTATTTCCAATTGTACCCTTTTTACAATAATAAATTAACTTAACAAGATGTATAAAAAAATGATTTAACAGATCTTTGAATATTTAAAATAAATAAAGTATCAGGAATTGATTTATTTTTGAATAAAATCTAATATAAGAGTAAAGAAATAATTTTCTAATTTTTTGTCTTTTCTAATTTAGTAAAATGATAAAAGGTTTCGATTTATCGTACCTTTAGTTCAGCAAAGTCCATAGTACCTCCCCTAACGAAAATCAACGATAAACTGTTTCCACAGGTCGAGTAGCGTGTTCGTTTTATAGCAACTCGAACTGACGGTTTCAACTATAAACCGTCTAATTCGTTTGTTATACCTAGCGATCGGTTTCGGTGGTGCACACAAGTAAGAAGAGGCGGGCCTGGTTTCGTACTAGTCAATCGAATGATACTAATTCCACTAAAAGCACCGTTACGATCTAAATTTTCGTCATCACCAGACACGAGCTGGTAGCGCGTGGCGGCTTCTTTATAAAGAGAATTTCAAACTTTTTTTTATTTACTTTTTCTTTTTTTTTTTTTTTTATTTTTATTTGATACGCTCGATAGAATACTTAAATAGAAGAGTAACTACTGGTAAGTTTATTACGTCGATTTTAATCAGCGAATCGGACAGATACGTTTATCTCGTAAGAAAAATAATATGGAATACGAAAAACCACAAATTTGCATTAACACATAAATCATAGTGTTATAAAAACTTAATAATAATACGATCTTTCACGTTTTTAATAATATTTTATTTTCCTTTCTATTGTGCGTCAAAGAAAATATTTTTTTTCTTTTTATTTTTCTACTAATTTTTTTTTAATTCTAATTTATAATCAGGGTAACGTCAGACATCTTTTATCTTTTTTATAATCAAAAGATTTATTGTGGAATATTTTTTATCGTAGATCGATAATATAAAATTGAGGAACACAAATTTAAAAATAATAGAATTCCAATTCTACGTTAATCTTTTTATTTTTTAATATTTAGTGTTTACAAAATTTAGAGAAGTCAGAATGTTAAAAATATATAATTTCATTGTGTCGATAAGTTAAAGTGAAAAATCAATCCTAAAATCCGATGTATATGTATTATAGTTTAGCTAACTGATTATATGTATAGCTTACCGTACGATTTGAATGTATGTGTTCCTGATTGGTGAAATTATTCATATCTAGAGGGGACTATTTCCTATTATGTATATCGAAATATATAGGAGAAAATTCGATGATAAATGTTAATCATAATATTAACGATGCGAAAATTCGGATTTGTCACAAATAACGTCAGGATTTGCTTTCGTTGCTGATAGCTTTTAAATTATTTTTATTTGATCCCCTTTCCATCCCCCTTCCATTCCATATCACTGATCAAATAAAAATATTTATACAATCAATATAATTATTATTAGATAATTTTAATATTAAATATATATTAAAATATTTAATTTCGTAATAAAAAAATATATTTAATGAAAAGAAAAGATGATATGCATTTTCGTTGTAGTCTTTTTATAATTGTTACCAGAGACTAACAAACTAACAAAAGTCGACGTTCTCACGTTACGAGTCGCATTATGAGCGTTCTTGTCGTTCTTGGTTCGTTAAAGTGACATAATCGTTGTGTTGCATACAACGTCCGATTTTAATCTATATTTTCTTATTTCAACGACAGAGAAAGTTTCAATGAACTTTTTTTTTTTTTTATTTACTTCCTTGGTATTATTTGTCAAGTGTAACCTACATTTTTAATATTATTATCGATAATTATAAAAAAAAAAAAAAAAAATAAAAAACTTACTCATTTCACGATCGACTAATAATTACGATATTGGTCAATTGGTGTTTGATAAGTGGACAAATAAAATAAACAAAGAAATTGGTGAAACAACAAACTGTCGTCTGTTGGTTTTAAATATTACGAACGCGTGTCTGTCGTGCAAATTTCACCACGTTGTAACGTTTGTGTGATGAATAGTAAAAAAAAATATTGTAGAAACGTGACGGGAGAGTTACGAACTTGTAAAAAGTATGGTTAAAATGGGAAAAAGAGAAAGATAATAACTTTCTATATGCTGAAAGCTTTTATTTATACAATCCTATAATATAATTTAATACAATAACAATAATAATAATAGTAATTTCAATTTAGAAAAAGATTATTACTTTTTGTGGTGTCGGAAAGAAATGAAAGAAATTTTATTATTAAGATATTATTATTATGTGTGTGTGTGTGTGTAAAAATAATAGAAATTAATTTACAATAGACAGAGTGAAGATCAAAAACTTTTTAAATGCTACGAATATTTATTCCAAATTATTAACAAAAGTATACAAATGCATTATCTAATAATTACCAGTGTCTAATAATTTTTTTGTGGAAGAAAAAAAAATTGGCAATCTTTTATTATTATTATTATTTTATTATATAAAAATAATATAAGAATTTTGTTTGCAAAACTTTAGAGATTATTATTAATACTACAAATGTGCCCTTAATTATGAAAGTGATCTGAGTCATATATCTCTTGTTTTGAGATATTTAAAGGATTACATTTGAACATTATATTAATTCTATATAATATTGAAATAACAAACATTACCTAAAGGTTCATTTTTGAGAATATCGTGAAAATTACATTAAATTAATTTAATTTAAAATAATGTGGTGTGAAATAACTAATAAACTCATTTGTTTTTAATTTTGATTTAGACAACTTTCATAATTATGGGCACAAACTTATAACATCTATTATTCTCATATTATATAAGAAATATTTTAATATAAATATTTTATTAAATAAAAATGTTTGAAAAAAATGTTGAAAAAAATAATGAAGTAAAAATTTTAAATTCTAGATATTTTTATTTTAAATTGTTTACAAAACTGTACAGATTATTATATTAATACTACAAATTTACAGTGTCTATTATTTCTCTTCCGTTTGAGAAAGAAATAGAAAATACCTTATAAACTAAAAAAACACTCATTCTTTTTATATTATCATTTTTGTCGCCAGAACAATTTGGTTTTCAAACTCATATCGTAAGAACTTAATGGACAGGGTGTCGTTAATGCAGGAATTAGAGAGTTTTGAACCGAGTAATTCGATAAAGGTGCGACCCACGTTCCCTCAGAAGACATAACACCTGATTCAACGTCGAGTCTGTAAAAAAAAAAAACAATAAAATAATTTATTTAATTAATACGATGTAATATATATATATAATAACATTTCTCAAAGAAAAATGATTATCAAAACTGCATTTTTACTACAAACTTGTTTAATTGTTCATGCGTATCATATTAAACTTTATTAATCACAAGCTAAACGAAATATTAACAATTAATAATATTTGCAAAAACATAATAAGAAAAGAAAAAAACCAAATCTGTCGATAAACTTTTTATACGAAATTTAAATTAAAAAAACATATTAACTATGGTATTTACTTTTAATTTTATAAAAATTGTCGATAAATTACAAAATAATTTGACTTGTTATTATTAATTCTGATATTCGGTTAGAGAGAAACTATTATTAATCCATTCGATAGAATACAGAGTACAAAAGATATTTACGTCTTAAGAAGAGGCGATGCATAAAGGACGAGGGGATTGATGGGTGGTGGTTTGAGAAGTACGACGTCAACACCCGAAGAATGTAATTCGCTCTTTAATGCGGCAGCAGCCCCTTCCACGGCTTTACGTGAAGCAGTGAATGCCACAAGGCCTGTTCCGGCTTTGCTAGCATAACTTGTCTCGGAGTCACCCAAGAGAACGATACGACCTTGTGCGAGTAAATATTCATTATGTTAATACGTCTAGCATAAAGAATAACCTATATTTATGCATAAACGAATAAATTTATCTTCCTTTCAAACGATACAATACAAAAAATAGTAATAACGAATAAACGAATTGTATTCGTAAATAGTAATAAAAAAATATGAAGCAAACGAGAAAGAACAAAATGGATTTAAAAAAAAAAAAGAAACAGAAGATTGGAAATGTTGTTTGCACAAATAAAAAAAGAAAAAAAAAAGAACAAGAATAAACAAAATTCTCTTACAGACGAGTGACCTGAAATTAAAAAGTCTGATGTTGAGTAAGTAGGGTAAACTGTAATAACCTCTTTTAACGCGCAGAAGAGGGATAAACACCCTTGCCGTTCTAAGGGGTGCGACCAGATTGTGTCGCAGCATCGATTCCCACGCTGAACTGGTTTGCTTTTCTATAGAACCCGGTAACGCCAAGCCACCGGTGTGTATCACTGCCCACAGACCTGGATCATAGAAAGATTTAAAGCATTAATAAACTTCTAACTTCATCCTTCTTTCCTAACTGTTCTGATGAGAAAAAAAAGTAGCTTTGTATTTTTTTTTTTTTTTATTTTATTTATACGCTTCTTTTCTTTTCTTTTCTTTTCTTTTCTTTTCTTTTTGCACACGCGAATCCTGTTTACTTTTTCTTTTTTCTTTTTCTTCTCTCTCTCTCTCTCTCTCTCGCTTTTTTTCCCCTTCGAAATAACGCTCGGATATTCCAGTCGACAGATGTGAGTCTCGACTTCGTTAGTTACTAGGTTTCGTTTCCTTTTTCTTTTTCTTGTTTTATTTTATTTTTTTATTATTTCTACTTCGAAGTTCAGGTCGTTCGTTCGTTCGTTCGTTCGACTAATGAGGTACTCTTATCCTAAGCACCGAATCAAGATTGATAGGAGAATTTGTATGTTTTTTTTTTTTTTTTTCTTACGAATAGTCTCATAATTAAGCAGATCAAACGTTTCATAATGAAAATATTCCTTTAAGAATGAATGAATGACGAATTAGAGAAAAATAAGCGTGTATTCTTTCATCGACCTAGATAGAAATTATTACATACGTTGCGCGTCCAGTTTTACTTCTGCTTCATTATAAATATCATCTTAATTAAACATCGTTATTAATATTTTCAGACGATTCATCTCACTCACCGCGTAGTTTTTCCTTTTTTTTTTTTTTTAATTCAATTCAATAAACCATAGGGAATACTAACCATGAATCATTTTTAACAAACAAGACGATTTTATATTTTAATTGTATGTGGTGTGTGTGTGTGTGTTGTATTTATTTATAAAATTAAGATATAATTTATATACGAAGAAAAATTGTAAAAAAAATGTATTCACCTTACTTTTGTCAACTTAGTAAATATTTTAATACACAATAATATTTTAATACACATTAT